GGGGGGTAGGGGGGCGGGTTGATGATGGCTAGGTAGGGTGTGTGTGCCATCGCAAGGCATCACCCAAGGACCCAGATTCAGGATTAGATGTGTTAAAAGAGGTGCGGCTGTACGGTAGTACATGCCACGTCACAGATATCGCCACACGTACCAAAGCAACCGAGGCAGAAGGGAAGGGAAGGGAAGGGAAGGTTCCTCCGGTGCCCAGTGCGCAGTGGGGGGATGTGGAGAGAACTCCCCCCCTCCGAAGGGAAGGTTCTCAGGACGCCAAGCGGCAAGTGGCAAGAGGGGCACGACGATGGAAGGAGGATGGGGAACGGTCCCCCCAATATACATACATTTCTTTCGCCCGTTGTAAGAACTCCTCGGGTGCGATAACAGGTTTTTGTTAGGTGACCAGCGGACCTACAGCCCGTTTAGCTGGTGCGCTACCCCCCGGTGGGGGACGGTGCTTAGTGCCGGCCGTCGTAGGCCGTCGTTTTAGCCCACAGTGTAATCCACGTCATACATACATACTTACAAATACACACATACAACATAGTAGGACGATGATGGTCCACCACGTAACCGCACTAAAAACGATTTACCGTCCATGACCCCCCCTAAGGCTTTTACGGACATCCCCGCACTTGTGCGGAACTTGTAACTTGTAACTTGTAACGTGTACAACAAAGTAAATAGTGGGAGTAGGCGAAGAGTCGGCGAAGGTGGGCAGAAGGACGAAATGAATGGACGAATGCCGCCCAAACGGTCACAGGACGACACAGCGTGCAGCGTGCATTATGTTTATGCGATGTGCGGATTGATGAGGGAACGTAAACGGCAATACAACAACTCCAAGCAATCAGTGGACGTGGCCGTGAGGTCCTGTCCAGGCAATGCCTGCACAAATACGTGGAAACGGCTTTGAGTAGGAGTAGTAGTAATAATAGTAGCTATGGACGTTCGGAAAGGAGAGAAATGGCGTCAGTAATCAGCTTACAAAGCTTACAGCAGAATTTCAAGTTTGTCCCCGATGAAATCGTTCCGTAAATCGTTCCCTAAACTAAATATGTCCAAAACACCTAAAAAGATGTTTTTAACTTAAGAGGGATAAGCTTAATAAATTAGCTCTAGCTACGCTACTTCAGGCAGGTTTCTCCTAGTTAAAGTAAAAACGTTATTCCAGTCCGGCCAGATTTGTTTATTTCGGGAAAATATTTTTACAATTTGATTAAAACGATTATGAATCCGATGCCAGGAAAACGTTACAGCAGCCATGCGGCTATCGTAGCGCACATAGGTCGCTCCCAACGGGCACGGTACGCTCTGAAAAACCTTCACCACGACCAGTTATAACTTTTTCACTACCTTCACTTAGAGGCCAAAGAGCGTCCTCGTCGTAATCTGTCCTTCTGCCGTGCTTGCGTTCTGCCGTACCGATTGCCGTATAGTCATTAACCTCGCTTCCCTTACTTTGACCTTGCAGGAAACCCGCAAGCTCCTCGACACAATCCTCTCCATCCAGCCGCGAGTGGTCGCCCAGCCCGCCACTACTAGCAGCGGCTCAGCGACGACCAGCAACAACGGCGGCGGCGGCGGTGCCGGCACGCCTCGGGAGAAGGCGTCTCTCCCGACCACCCACTCGCCCTCGCCAACCTTCAGCAACCTGACACTCGACGTTGTCGGCGGTGGCGGCGGTGGCGGCGGCATACCCGGTAACAGCACCCCAGCTAACCCGTGCGGCTTTGGCGCAGCGCAGCTGTACGACAACTCCGGCGCGGCCGATGGACGAGATCGTGGCAAGAGATATACCACGGAGACCACCACCACCAACGTGGGTACAGCATGCGCGGTGGCGGGGAGCAGCACCGGCTGGCGCCGCCGTACTTCCGGTTCCTCGCGCAGCTCTGGATTACCTGTCGTCGTTGCCGGCCCCGTCGCCGGGGAATTGTCGACATCGACGTTGACGTCGCCGGACGACGTCGCCGCCGACATGGCGGCGGAGATTGCGGACCTGCTGCCGCCGCCGCTTGTACGGGAGGCCGCTGCGCCCGGTGCCGCCAACCCGTTTGCTCCCTTGCCGTCGGGCCACGACAACAGCCTCGGTGTGGTGTTGGCGCAGGAGATGCAGCGGGCGAATGCGTTGCGTAGCGTGCTGTTCAAGAGCCTGGACGAGCTGGTTCGCGCATTACGGGGCCTGGCCGTAATGAGCGCCGAGTTGGAGGTGGGGGGTCAGCTCGTGAGGGGGTCAGCTCGTGAGGGGGTCAGCTCGTGAGGGGGTCAGCTCGTGAGGGGGTCAGCTCATAGAGGGTAGGGTGTATTGCTGCAGTGCTAGAAGTCCTATCCAGGATAAGGGAGGTAAGGGAGGTATAGAGTGAACGAAATGGGTCTTCAGTACACTTCAG